TTCTTTTTTAATTTCTTCTTTATTGTATTAATTCATTTTATTAAATTATTATATATTAATAATTATTATTTTTAACATATAATATTTATCTGTGAGTACATATTACTTTATTGGATTATTAATTTCTTTTAATTATTTTAATTTTTTTATTGTGTTAGTTCTTTTTTTTGGATTACTACTTCTAATTTATAATTTATATATATAATAAATATTATTTGTTGGATTAATAATTTATAATGTATAATATTAATTCTTTTTAATATTATTGGTTCTACTACAAAGTTCTCAGAATACGCAAAAGTGTCGCCTCCCATTGTCGAAAATCAGCAAGATAGCCGCCAATCACCTTAATCGATGGTTCGACGGAAAGCCCAACAACTTTTTACACCCAATGCTGCTAGTAGCCGCCTATAACAACCTCTTCATAATCCGTCAGAATCCTCTATATCTACATGTCACTAAGTCGGTAATATTCTGCTACAATTATAACGTCCCAAATATACGACCCAAAAATTTCATTTTTGATTTAATAAAACATGAATCCAAACATTATCATACAATCCACAAAAGATCAAAGTATGTCAAAAACATCAAAACATATCAGAGTAATTCTTGAATGTAGAAAAATGTGGTGTGTGCTCTACAATCATCCCAAGTTCTTTCATTTTGATCATGAAGTACCTGAAACATAAAATGAAAATCATAAGCTTAAAGCTTAGTGAGTTCCCTAAAATACCTCATACCATACATAATAAACACATATTGGGCCCCGCCCTTCATTGGGGCCCATCTGACATCGAGTCCGACTCAGCTCCGGGCCCCGCTCGACATTGAGGCCCGTTCGGATTACAAATATGTCATTCATTAGGCCCCACCTAACATCGGGCCCTACCCGGTACACATAACAAACATATAAACATATGATCATGCTAACACATGCCATAACCACAACCAATATCATACAATACAGTCATCGGGCCTCGCCCTGGCATCGAGCTTCGCTCAATATACATATCAACACATAACACATGCAATAGTCACGCAGATATCTAGCATCTTATAAAGAATAATCATAGGTCGGCATTGGTTTCTTCAACCTGCTAAGTATAGTGAGGAAACCCACTTCATACTGTTGAATCTCACAGATAAATCTCTGACCGCTGGCCCGCTAAAATCCTCGCGCTATTGATCACAAAATAACAATCAATTAATAATTGGATCCCAACCCACACTAAGTGTCCAAACTAGGGTAAAAGAACTTTTTACCCTTTCCCTAACTTCACCCAAGGGTAAAGCCCAATCCAATTGTCCAAAGGCCCAATTTCCATAAAAATCACTCAAAGCCCAATATGGCCTAATTTTCCAAATTGGGCCTAACCCTCCTCTTTCATGGGCCTTCAACCAAAAGAGTCCAAATATATTAATAACCTATAGGTAGAATTTTGATGGACCAAAAAGGCGCAATACATCTAAAGTCAACCTTGACCCAACACAAAAGAGGCCACGAATCCGAAGCCTGCTTCTGAGTACGCAGGGCGTACTCAGCTTGTACGCTCATCCTATACACTTAAGGGCTTGTACGCGCGGCGTACTTTCTTGTACGCCCTGCGTACTCCACCATCTTGGCCAACCTTCACCTTTTAGCTCTTAATCGATTACGACCGCAACCCAAACTCAGATCTGGCTTCCTTGAGGTGGTTTATCACGTAAAGTTTCCAACTTTACGTGCATGCATGGCTTAATGAGGCTTTTAGAGCTGAAAAGAGCTTAACAAATGACTTAACACATGCATGAGACCATAAATTCCCTAAAGCTTGCATTTTTGTGGACAAAGGTACCAAAAGGGTCCTAGATCTACTAATAATTAGTTTTGGAGTGAAGTAAGAAACTCAACAATCAAACCATGGACTAAAAGAGCACAAAAATGGCACCAAACTAGATCTAACATGATGGATTAGCAATATGGAAGCTTTTTACCTCACAAGGAAAGCAAAAGAAGAGCAAACCTAAGATCTTCAAGCTCCAAGCGCAACTCCAAATGGTTCACTACTTATTCTCCTTCACAAAGCACCAAAAATCACACTTTAAGGCTTAAACTCTCAAGATCTCACTTAGGGCTCAATTTTCTGGACAATAAGGGATTGAGGCTATCACAAGGTTTAAATATGGTGCAGCACCCTAAAATTTGGTTTCACTTAAATGCACGTGCGCCCCGTGTATGTGTCCGAAGGCGCGATCATGCATCGGGCTAGTACACTAAGCATACCACCCTGTACGCCCGCGTAACTAGCCTTAAGGACCATTTTGCAAACTTTTTCGATTAGGGCTAAAATATGAAACTTACAATTTTCCGGTTGTTTAAAACAACCAGCACCATTCGAACCACCAGGAGCTCCGATCCAAACACTCCTAGTCAGTTCATCCATTTGTTGCCTTCTACCACCTTGCAACATCGTATCATCTTGCTGTAAATCATCGATTATCGCCTACAGTCGGACAT